ATTAACGGTGGTCAAGCATACAATATTTATAAATTGTTATAAGACCCATCCTAAATTAAATAATTCCCTTTTGGCCAAAAAATACTAGGGTCAAAAAATAATTCCCTTTTGGCCAAATATGGTGTGGGACAATCTTAGTGGGACATCCCGGAAAGGTAAAATGAGACAATATTAGCGGGACGGAGGGAGTAATAACAACAACAACAACAATAATCCCAGCACCACCACCTCTGATTTGTAAAAATTCTGCCTCTTTTGTAAAATATGTCATTTTTCAGAAAAATGTCTAGAAAATGGCATTATTACTCTTCATTATGCCAACATTTTCATTGAATCTTACTTCATTATGGCATTACTAAAAATGTTGGCGGATTTCTCCGGTGATGGGAGCTAGTTATGGTGGGGGTGGCAGAGGCGGTGGCGTTTTTTTAACGTTTTTTTATTTTTTAATTTTCTTTTGAATTTTTTTTATAAATATTTTATTGATTTTTAATTATTTTTTACGATTTGTTTTTATTTTTTATGATTTTTATTATTTTTTATGATTTGATTATTAATTAAAACATTTCAAAAGCTACAAGGGTATATTTGTCCAAACAAACAAAAATATTCCTATTAGGGGAAATTTAAAAAATGTAATCCTATTTGTTAAATTTTGTCACTTTTTAGTCCTATTTAGGTAATGGACCCTAGTTTTTTTTGGCCAAGGGGGAATTATTTAGTTAAGGATGAGTCTTATAACAATTTATAAATATTGTATGTTTGACCACCATTAATGTAAACGGTCAAATGAAACAGAAGGACTGGATTAAAATGCATCAAATAGAATAAGGACTAAAATGATAAATTTATTAGTTGAAGGACCAAAACGATATGGTGATGATAGTTTAGGGACCATCTAAGCTATTTACTCTAAAATTAAAGCAAATGAATATCTGCAGGTTATTTTATAAGTATTACTATTTCATCACAATAAAGTCGTATTTAATTGATCATGTGAGTATATAGTAACTGCAGGTTATTCTATTTATATAGTAACTGCAGGTTATACTAACTATTGTCATTAGTATTAGTATCTTAATTAATTGAACTAAGCCATTTATGACGCTTTTGAAAGAAGCTTAAACTGGAATTCAACTAATTGTAAAGCATTATTATTTTACAATGATTATAACGAAATTTGTTTTAGTCTCCCTAAAAACATTCCTAATAATATACTCTCTTTGTTCGCAATCAAAGTCACACTTTCCTTTTTAGATTTGCCAAAATAAAAGTCACATTTCTCATTACTTCCCATTTAGGAAAGAAATCTTTATCAATACAATACAAAACAATGCAAAAAGAGTGTCAAACAGTGTACTCTACAGTAAAAGTTACCTCTCAGTAAATTTTTTTCCTTAATCTTTGTGAAATCAAATTGTGACTTTGATTGTGAAACGCATGGAGTAAAATTCAGTATTCGTATTAAGAACGTACAAATGGATTTTATGTATATAAACAAAACTTGCATAATGTTCTTTCCATATACTCCGTATTTGTTAAAAGAGATGGTTAGAAGGATGAATGTTGTTTCAAACTTTGGACTATTCATTATTAATAATGAAGAAAATCCAAAACTAATAGATTGATTTGTTGGTATGAAATTCTTAGGATTTGACTGTAAGGCTCAAATTCACGAGTTGAGGAAGGAGAATTAAGAGCATCTCCAATGTTACAAATTCACGAGTTGAGGAAGGAGAATTAAGAGCATCTCCGATGTTATAGTATATCGACGTTGTGATGACAAAATAATGGAAAAAAATGATCTATTTAGTTAGAACTAGCTCCAATGCAATAAAACAAAACAAGAAAAGAAAACAAATAAAGAAGGGAAAAGTATGTAGATGGCCGAAAGATTTATGAAAAGGTGGCACCCAAGGTTCTAATATGGACCTACTCCTAGACTTTGTTCCATATTTTCAAATGCCTACTCAAGATGTTTTATTTTGGATTGAAATTTGCTGGTCTGGTAAACGTCTCTGTGTATTTTATAACTACGGAAGTCTGGTCTGGTCTGGTCTGATCTGGTCGATCTGGTCTGATCTGGTCTGGTCTGATCTGGTTTGGGACTGAAAACAGTCCAAAAGAAAACATCCTGAGTGCAACACGTCCATTTTATTTTGCATTGGAGAGTTGATTTTTATTTTTTAATAAAAAAATGCATTTGCTGATGTGGAAGTGCAATGCATTTCTCCATAGGAGATACCCTAAGATGGTTAATGTGTGTTGACTATAGGAGACAAAATAATAATATTATGTCACCTTACTTACTACTCCCTTCGTCCCGCTAAGAAGTTCCCATTTTCCCATTTTAGCAGTCCTAAAAAGAAGTTCTCCTTTCCTTAAATGGAGAGTTATCTCATCAAAACAGTGTCAAACAGTGCCAAACAATGTCGAAACAGTGTCAAAACAGTAAAATTTACCCCCGGTAAGTTTATTCCCTTAATATGTGTGTAAGTCAAAACGAGAACTTTTTAGTGGGACGGAGATAGTACATAGTAGTAGATATTCACCACCTTCACGTATGCATCCACATTTGTGGGTACCTGGGTACCGGAGGATTACTACTTAATAGTTAATACTATCTCTATCCCGTTTTATTTGTCTCCTTTGATTTTGACACAATTTTTAATAAAGTGGTTGAAAAGATAAAAATTGTGGTTGAGATTTGAGCATAGTAAAATAAAATGTTGTGAACCACATTTTTCTTTTTTAAAAAAAAAAAATGACACTTATTTTGAGACAACCCAAAGAAAAAAATAAGACATGTAAATGGGACGGGGGAGTAGTTAATAGGCTAATTTGATGTTTTTAAACTTGATTGACTTAATTAGGTGTTTAGGTGTACCATGAGACTCATGGCGGCATGGGTCAGTGATAAGAGTCGAATTGACACTCAACCAAAATTTATTACTCCGTAATATTGATAGCTAGATCTGGGCAAAAAGGGGCGGGCAGACTAAAATTTATTACTTCTCGGCTTTAAAAAAATATTTATTTTCTCAAACACTATAACTTTTATTTTTCTCGACTTCCGCGTCAAAAGTTCTTTTACTTTTTCTATTACACAAAAAGTACTTATTTTACCAAACACTATCCACTTTTACTTTTCAAAATCACTTTTTCTCAAACACTATCAATTTTTATTTAATCAATTCTCCCCATTTCATTAAAAAAACACTTTTTTAAAAGCAGAAGTTATTACAAACAGACTCTTAGTATATAATTTGGGTAACATCAGTACTCATACCTACTCTGTATAAGGCTATAATATGTCCAACGCATTTGTGGTCTTTTGCACTATTTCTCATTCTTTTTTTTTTTAATTTTTTTTTTCTCATTCCACAACCACTATAAAACTAAAAAAAATACTCCCTTATAACTTTATAAACTTTCCTTTTTTGATTGTCCCAAAAACTTTACCACTTTCCATTTTAATCAATCAATTTTGTGGCTCTTGTTATTTTTCTATCCTCTGCATAAATCTCTACGTCACAATTTTTACTTTATTATTCTACGTGCCGATCAAACTTAGCAACCCTTTTAGGGACGGAGGGAGTACTACGTATGGTGAAGGTTTCATATATGAAGCGAAGATTCTTTATAAAAAAGATAGTCTTAGTAATCAATAATGAGTCAAGTATTCCATTTTAAACCTAAGATCAAGTACTAACACCACCAACAAAATTCAATTAACATTATTCAGAGGCGTAGTTAGGTCAGAGGCAGGGATGGATTTAAGAGGGACGCGGGGGGGGGACCGCCCCCTCGGACTTTCAAATTTTTCTACTATATATGTAATATTCTCGTAAAATTTTCATAATTTAAGTAGATATGTGTGTGTGTTCGCCTCCCTTAACTTTTAGTTTTCAAAATCAATATATAACCTTATATATTAAAAGAAGAAACATCTAAAATAATTGACAGAACTTAAACAAATAACCAATATAACCACTCGATGTTTAAGAGTTAGAATACCTATTATATAAAAATTCATAGTTTTGAAATGTTTAATTATCTTTATTAGATAATTAGTATCCGATTTGTAAAATATCAAACAATATTAAATACGAGACACACTAGTTAAACAATTTTTAGATCATGTGAAGTGAATCTAAAATCACACAATTCATTTATTTCTTACTTTCTAAACAATTTATTACATAGTTAATAAAGTTTAACGTATTTTAGCATTAATACAAATTTAATATGCACCATGTATAAGAATTAGCAATATATTATTATTCTAAAAATAATTATCTCATAGATACTATTGTAATATTAGCAAAACTACTTGTGACTCACAAACACCCTTTTTGGTAAACAAACATTGCAATTTGAAAATCAATTCCTTATACCGATAAGATTCATATGGTTAAACATGGAAGGAGTTGTTTAAAAATTATTGGTGAATGTGCACCTTTTAAACTCTTTACCTTCAAATAATTTGATAGAATGTTATATATATCCTTTTTTATTTTCAAATAATTTTCCTTTGCTTTTCTATTTCTTTCGCTTTAATGTATCAATATTTTTTTCTAAAACACTTACAATTATAAAATCAAAATTATTTTTCCATTGTTTAAACATAGAATGTACGGAGTAATAGATTTAATGTACCTATACTTATATGAATTTTTTTTGAATAAAAATTAGTCGGAAAGCCCCACACTATTGAAAAAAATCGTTGCGCTACACTAGCTAAAAAATTTCGCCCAACTAAGCTAGCGGAAAAAAATTCAGCTCCTACACTAACGAAAAAAATTTCGACCCCCTTGTCTTGAAATTCTAGATCCGTCCTTGGTCGGAGGTCATGTTAGGCTCCACATCAAATTTCAATTTTTTTAGATGACAAGCGTAAAGATTTCATGTATCTTTTTTTTTCCAAAAAGATCTTTGTACCGGCCAGTCATGTTCAAAAGCACAGAACCCTTTTGATTGCTCAAGTATGTGAACTGATGAACTAGAAAAGAAAGTTGTTTTTCATTATTTATCATAAAAATGTTAAGAACTAGATCAACAGTACTGTAGTAAAAGAGAATGCATGATATGATAGCTCATGCAAGTAGGCATTTCATGTGATTTCTAAAGTTGCACTCAACATTACACACGCACATAGATAAAATACTACTAAGGACTCCATTTAATCAAAATGGGATGATCACACTAATCTCACAGCATCTAAAAATTTCATCTTCCTACTCAGAACTGATGATCCATTGAACTTTTTCTTAATCCAAGCCACACTATTAATATAGTAGAATTCAGACTTTCAGTCCTTTTTTTATTAATCCTAGCCACATATGTTTTATTTTCAATTAACACTCTAGTGTGCCCAAGAAGTTAAAGACTTAAAGGTTATATTAACAGAACATTTTGAGGCTTATGCCCTAAAAGCTAGGAGTAGGAGGAGGTAAAGCCCAGGGTAGAGCAAGCCAAGCGCCTAAGTTTGATCACCAGAAAGAGTGAAACCCCACACACAAATCCCAGTGCAGCACTTGAACCTGTGAGAGAAATGGCAGCACAGACCAGCATCACGAAAGACTCTTCCTTTGTGTTCATATCCCTCGAAGCCATAGCCAATTCTATCCCAGCAAACAACAGGAGCACTCCAAGAATCCCGATCGGGAATTCCTTCAAGATCCTAACTAATGAATTCCCGATCAATAAACCGACAACCAGCTTCCCCACTCCCAGAAACACCACAGACAACCCGCTGCGGCCACCGAACCTGTACTGCCCAGCCAACCCTCCTGCACCATGACAACACGGCATTGCCCCGAACCAACACCCTACCATGTTCATCAACCCTACACTGATCGATACTTTAGCTGCCGATCCAGCCCTTTCTGGGAACAAATCTGCTGATAGCTTACAAACTGCTATAACTGAATTTAAAACTGATAATGGAATTTGAGGAATTGCTCCCCGGAGGAACCCGGTTTTCCAATCTTCCCATGTGATTGTTAGGACCTGGAATTTTGACGGACCGAGCTTGATTCCGTGTATGATTGACGGATCGCGGATGAAACAGAGGATTAACCCGACTAAGAACACAATTAGGGCTGACGGAATTTTCGACAGCGTTCTCAATCGGCGGTTTACTCTGCGCCGCTCTTCTTCAGCAGTTCCCTGACACAAAATTTCAGATTCTTCTTCGACTGCTTCTCCGGATCCGGTGACTAATATGATGAACGAGAGGCAGATTAGTGCAAGGATAAGCCCGTCGAAGCCTAACCAAGGTCTAGGAGTGGAGCTGCTGGCGGAGGTAGAGGTGAAGTTTTGGTTGTAGCGAACGTATTTGATGGCGGAGAAGGCGAAGGAAAGGCCTTGGGAAAGCTGGACGCCGCGGACGACGGGCAGGGGGATGATTCTGTAGAAGACAGACATGAGACCGGTGGCGCCGAGAATGAGGAGAAAGGCGGCGGTGGACAACCCGGCGGCGGCGATTTGGGGGAGAGTGAGGTGAGGGGTTTCGGAAACGGCGACGGCGGCGATGGATTTCATAGGCTGGACGGGCATGGGGATGCCGAAGATGAGGCCGGTGGCGATATTGTAGAGGGCGGTGAAGATTAGGGTTGTGCTAAGGTCGAGATTATTGACTAGAGTGAGGGCTAGGACTATGGGGATGTAGGTGCCGAGGTCGCCGACGGATCCGCCGAGCTCGGCGGGTATAGAGGTTTTCAGACGGAGCGAATCGGAAAACGAGAGGGCGTGGAGGTGCCTCCGCCACCACTGGCGGTGGAGGAGTGGAGTTGCGCGGTCGTCAGGTGCTTCTTCCGCCATCTTGGGAGTGTTGACTGTCGTCTGTCGGCGGATAAGGCCCAACTAGCGTTTCCTCTTGAGCATCAAATTCTTACTGTTCCGAAAACGAATAAAGAATTATTCATACAGCGAAGAGTACTATCAGTCCAAATCCAAAGTCTAGACAAAGAAATTCAATGGTCCATTTTAAAAAGAAATAAAGGAAAAATCGCACATTTAGTTCATGAACTGATGAAAGTCATGAAATATTAGACTCGTGTTTCTCAGATTGTAAATATCACTCCTTAATTGTTCAAATTGCTGTAAATGTGATTCTTTGAGGAGTGAAATGTACAATGTGGGTGAAAAGTACATTTTACACCTCAAAGGATTACATTTACAACGATTTAGGCAATTAAGGGATAACATTTACAATCTCAGAAATATGGGTCTGACATTTTAATATGGCAACTAATTCAAAGACTAAACATGCGATTTTCCCAAAAATAAAATAAGCTCAATGATCCATTTTTTGTCATCTATTAGTTTAAATCGTTAGCTAATTGATTTTTTTATTGAGTTTAATTCCGTTTTTTTTTTGTTTTCTAATGATAAAACAATTATGTTAAATAGACAAAAAATAATAAGCCCAATTAAGGAGCAATCAATTTATTTGATCATTAAGGACTCAATTATGTTGGGATGAGTAAAAGTGATAACTTACATTACAAAGTATTACTTCCGCCACACTAACGTTGATATGAAGAGGTGACACCATTATTAAGAAAAGTGAGTTTATGTGATTGATATCGAATTAATAAAATAAGAATAAAGTAAAAATGATTTAGAAACACACAAATTTGGTATGAGAATGTTTTAGTGAGACAAACTGAAAAAGGAAAGATAAGATAATTTTAGCGGGATGGAGTGAAATATAACGTGTTTAGATCCGGGTGACCATTACGAGTATTCTTCACGTATGTACACACACACTAGATCTCACTCATGCGATGCACGGATGAAAATTTACCCATGTGTGATCAAGAACTCTATTATAAAAATGCATAAATAATTGAATTTAGAATAAAGTGATAATTAGTAACATAATATGTGCTCATAGTTACAGAGAGATTAAAACATCCACTACCAAAAAAAATCGCCATAGGGTCGGATTTTGGCTCGGATCACTTCACAAATATCCCAGACTATCGCTTTTGGCACGGATTTGGCACGGATGTCGAATCCGTCGCACCTGGCTCGTGCCAAACGCGTAGGCACGGCTTTTACTTTCCGTGCCAAACCTTGGCACGGAAATAGGAACGGCAATATCCACGCCAAACTACGTTTACAAGACCCAAAAAATTTGTCTCGGATTTGTGTTGGCACGGCATTTGGCTCGGTTGTTGTCGGGTCGGGCTAACCAAAACCCGTTTTTTTGGCTCGGATTATGTCCGCGCCAACCTTCGTCATATATTCAAAATTTACCAGGACTGTTGGTACGGATATATCCGTGCCAAATGAGTGTATTTAAAAAAAATGTACACCGTACATATGTACGGTATTCCGTACATATGTACGGTGTACATTTTTTTCCCCTGCATTGTTAGTAACAAAACAACAATAAAAGCACACATCAATATAGAACACATGCAATAGAACATTATACACAGTCCACGTAAATTAAAGAGGAAGTGTACATAATATGAAATTATTACATTCCAGGCAGATAAACCACTGCCAAAACATAAGTAGAAATGGCAAGTAAATTGCCAGAAGATGTCCAGGAGTACTACAGAAATGAAATTGTTTTCATTACACAAACATATCTTCCAGCCCGTTCATTTGGGCAGAGGTCGGGGTACGAAAGTCCGAGAAATCAGGCAGCGGGACAGAAGGGTTCACACTTCGCACTTGTTGCATGTACGCCGTAAACACAGAAGTCATGTTCGCCATCTGGGTTTGCCACTGCTTCTCCTGCTCCGCAAATCGGGCTTCCAGCTGTTCCTTGATGCGGGAATCAATTTCCTGCTGAGTCGGCCCCGATATCCTGCTAGAACATTCAACGTCCGACATCGCCTCGGCTTCAGATCCTGTCCCAAACCGCCTGCCTTTGTACAGCGGCACCACCGCACAAAACAGCTCAGAATCATCCTGCTCGTACGATTTCCCTTGAGACTCAGCCTGGGCTTTCATTTCATTGTATTTTTGCTGCACAATTATAAAACAGGGGAGTCAAATGTACTATAACTATAATATATAATAGTAAGAAAACAAACTGATATATACCTTCGTTTCAACTACACGTGCCGGGGGGTCACCAGATTTCGGGACGTACACTTTGTCAAACACTTCAATCTTCAGCGGGGGCCTATTCAACTCCTTTGTCTACGAATTTAAACAGTACACAATTACCAGTTCATTATAGTTATAAAAAACTCTTATTTATTTTTCAAAATTATAACAGAAATCTAACCAGCCTTTCAACATGCGCAGTCACCGGTATCCTTCCACCGCGATACTGTGATTCTTTCCCTGCTTTGGAATTTCTGTTCTTCTTGCCAGCACGGCTTTTCTTCTTAAAAGCATCAGAGGACCAATACTCTTGCAACACCTTCCAATCTCCATCACCAATCCAGTCCGGCTTTTTGTTGTCACGCCTAGCTCTACCAATGTTTTTGGTTAGCCATTCAGAGGCCCGAGACTTGAACTTCTTCTTCATTTTGGTATTAAAGCAGGAATCCCACTCATACTTCCTCTGAAAACTCAAAAACAAGTTGATCAGCAATAACTCACAATCTGTCAAATCAAAAGTAAGTGTTAGTATGTTTCACATACCTGAAACAGTTTCCACCAACGGTTGCGTTGATCGGCATCCGCATTCATATAAGAACGCCACGGACCGTGAAAATTGTTAGTCAAGATTGAAATGATGTTGTTGAGGACAGTAGGATTGCTACATCGTAAAAGCACATATTAGTAATATATAGGTAGAAATCCTTTAAATAAGAATTACATAATGCAGTTTTACTCTTTACCTTCTCATTTCAAAGGGTGAAATAAAGGTCTTATTCGGAACAGATTCATCAGGGATCGAAGAATCAAAACCATTTGAATGATCAGAAAGGTGTCGGGATTGGACAGACTCATGCGAATCAGGTTGAGGAGAGGGCTGCTCATCCGGGACTGTGTGTGGGCTACCCCCACCTGCCCGACCTCCGCGCATGGAAGTAAACGAAGTAAATGAACCTCTACGGACAGACATTCTATTGAAATGTATAACAAATTTATAGAAAGAGACAAGTAAAATAGTTAGGTTTTAACCAAATAATAACAAAATACAAGTATAGATTTAAAAATATAAACAACTTGTTACATTTAGTTATATAAGGAGGAGTAGTACACAGATTGTCAAACTCCCAGATTGATAAAACAACTTATGAGTTAAAAGACAGATTACTAACTTACGGAGTATAATTCTACATCTTGTATATACGATTTTACTGCTTTAATAATTATCATCATTGGTTTAACAATATTATTAGTTAACTTAAGAGTGTAGCACTGAGAGGTATATAAGAGTTGGGAATTTATATACTTTATTTATAATAATTACTTCATGCACAAGATGATTACAATAGGTGGATTGTAATAAATTAAAATTATGAACAAACGGTTACATCACTTCGTTTATAATATAAATAAATAAATACTTCATCAAATACCACTGTCATATTTTTATGTTAATTATAATAGTTCATTTTTAATTAAAAAGTATATAAACAAAAGTATGTAAAAAAATATAATACTTTGTTTCTATTTATAAATACCACTGTCAAAATTTTATGTTGTAAATATACTTCGTTTCTAATTAAAAAATAATAAACAAGTCACTTTAATATTATAGAAAAGTTTATAAAAATGATAACCGTATAGATGATAACTGTTAAACATTATAAAATAATTATAAAAGTCACTGTTTAACCGTATATAAAATAATTATATAGATGATAACTTGTTGATAACCGTAAAAAATAATTATATAGATGATAACTGTTTAAAGTTTCATTTAAAATTATATAGATGATAATACTTTATAAACCATAAATAGTCTATATAAAATCAATTACAAACTACTTTTTTTAAGATAATAATTTTTTTAAATAACGACTTTAAAAAAAATAAATAACGACTTTAAATAAAACGTAAGTTAACTATACGTTGAAATAAATTTAATATAAAAAAACGTAACCAAAGAGTTTTTAAGGGGACATGACCTGGAAACAGAGCAAAGACGATGGCCGGTGAGGGAGAAACAAACTTCGTCGTGGACGGAGGTCGCTACAAACACGGCATGCAGGAGAGGGGCTGCTTGAATGGATGGATCCTAGCGTCGCCGGTGAATGCCTCGTGGTGGCCGGAGTAACTGCTTAAAGAAGTTATTGTCACCGGAGTACGTTGTGGGAGATGGAGGGAGAGTATGTAGTGGCCGGAGTTCAATGTGGGAGATGGAGGGGGTGGAAGGGTAAATGGTGGCCGGAGTTCGTAGTGGGCGGAGGAAATAGAGGCGGAGAGGGGGGAAGACAGAAGTAATGGCCTAGGGTTTGGGCAAAATCTGCTAAGGCCAGTTTATATACTTCGCGTTTTGGCTCGGCAATATCCGTCCCAAAGACGGAGCCAGACCCGTTCTAGAGTATTCGTATATCTGTGCGGTGTTGGCACGGACCTTGCGACGGTCATATCCGTCCCCAAAGCGCGCAAAAAAAAAAACGAAACGGTGGGGAAAATTAATTTGAAATTTGAATTTGAATTATTTGAATTGGCACGGCCTAATCCGTCGCAAGTTCCGTGCCCAGAGCATTTCTAGATTATTCCGGGTTATTATTCGCATTTGGCGGCAGTGTGGGTCGGAAATATCCGTCCCAATGGCGCACTAAACGATAACAGACAGGCGGAAATAATTAATTTTAAATTGAAAAGGATTTTGGCACGGAACTTGCCGTGCCAAACTGAAAAGTTGTCTGAAACTCTGTGCGGTCAGTAATTATTATGTCAGACGGTTTTGGGACAGATTTGTGAAGGCGATATCCGTGCCAACGACTAGCATTACCGGAATTAGCCTTTTTGAGACGGAAATATCCCACCCAATTCCTTGCCAAATGTCGAATTTATACTATAAATATGTCTTACGGTGAAAATATTTATAATTGTGGCAAAGAAGATTAGA